TGCCATGTAATTACCTTTGGGATGTTTGTGGGGTATTACTTGTGTGTGGTGTCTTGGTGGGTGTCTGTAGAGACCGTGCGGTGTATTTTTTTTCGTGGTGGCACATTATCTTTCTTACGTTACATCTTTGTCCTGAGTATTACGTGGTGATTTATTGTCCTTTTTTCCTACACATAGCAAACTACTTTCTACTATTGTGTTTAGGCCAAGGCGAATGCTAAGGTTTAAGAATAGCTAAAGGGGCAAAGCTAAGGTTTAACATTTCTTTCTCCAGTTTGCAAAGCTATTGTTTTTATAAGAATAAGAAAATTCAGAAATTGACTGTGAAAAATGTTTATTTTTTATATTTCACACGTTGGGGACCCTACACCTGGTGTGATGGAAATTTCTACTGCAACAATCCCCACGCAAATACACAGTGTACCCGCGACTGTTACAATGAAGACTCGATAATCAGCTCACGGCATATAGGTGTAAGCAGGGGTAACGTGCTATTTTTATAAGTTGGGAGTGGACCTAACACCCTCTAGGGGGGGTCCGGGGGAATGCTCCCCCGGCAAGATTTTGTTTAAAATATTGAAGTTAAAAGCATTAATCTGGTGCACAAAATGAAGAGATCTATGGATACTCCACTCAACACCGATATGAAACAGAACTGTAAACAGATTTACTATTTCTTTATGGATAATTTACAAATCACTCCCCTTTTAAACTTTATTCTTTTTTTACTGTCATATAGTATTTCATACCTGTTTTTCATTTATTCTCTTATTTTTTTATAACTATAATGATCATATAAACGTGTGCCTCGGAAATGTTTACATTTATCGTGACCAAAACGTTTGAGACCCACTGAGATAACTTAGACTAAAGTTAACTATGTAGTCCTTTAGATCACTGAGCCTCTCAGTCTGACAGGAGAGGTCTCTCCTCCACCTTGTTGTTGAAAAAGCTCCTTATATCTGTTAGCGTAGCTCGCTAGCACCAGAAGCTAACAACAACGATCTCCGGTACCGGTGCGCTCTCTCTCTCTCTCTCTCTCGCGCCTGCAAATAAAATGGCTCGTGAGACACACAGAGCCGAGCTTGAATGAAACACAGAGACCCAGATGTACTTGTACTGTATCATATTATTTTCGAATCAATCATTTTTCAAATTATGATTAAAAAAGCAAAACATTTTTTCCTCCTGGTCTCTCGTCCCTTTCATGCCTCTGCGCCCCCCAGGGGGGGCACGCCCCCCACTTTGAGAAACACTGGATTAGGGTCATGGCTGAACATAAACCTGTGTTTCTATTCCACTACAATGGATTTTTCAGTGTTAACATGTTTTGAACATCATCATGGATATGTCCAATAATTGTCATACAGGGAGCCTTCCACTGTGTTGTTTTTACTCTATTTTAACTCAGTTTGATTTAAAGATTTCCCCAAAATCATCTTATGTATCTCTGTATTAAATGCAGTTGATTTTTGTTTTGCAGCAACATTTAGTCTCCATGGCAGATATCATAAAAAAGTAAGTTCATTTAATATAAAA